ATAGGAAAAAATGTACAGATTAGATTCTGCAAAAGAAAAGATTAGTGAACGGGGCGCCTGGGTGGCTCAGTCATTAAGCGTCTGCCTTTGGCTCAGGTCATGATTTCAGGGTCCTGGGATTGAGCCCCTCACGGGGCTCCCTGCTCTGAGGGAAGCCTGCTTCCCCTCCCCCACTCCACCTAATTGTGTTCCCTCACTCGCTGTGTCTCTCTCTGTCAAATAAATTAATAAAATCTTTTTTAAAAAAGAAAAGATTAGTGAACTTGAAGACATAGCAATAGATAGTAATAGTATCCAAAATGTATATATAGTGTCCAAAAAACTATCCAAAATGAAGCACAGAGATACAAAAGATTAAAATAAATGAACAGGGCCTCAGTGACCCATGGGACAATGTCAAATTGTCTTTTTTAAGTCTTTCTCCAAAAGGAGAAAAGGAGGGACAGAAACATATATTTGAAGCAATAATGGCCCCCAAATTCCCCAATTTGATCTAAACTATATATATTCATTGAGTTTAAGAAGCTCAATGAACCCAAGAAGTGAAAACAACCCCCCAAAACACATTAAGACACATCAAATTCGTGAAAACAGTGTTAAACAGAAAACCTTAAGAACGATCAGAAGAAAAAAGACATATTACCTAAAGAGCAACAAAAAATAATCATAGACTTCTTATCAGAAACTATGCAAGCCAGAGCAATGGAAAACATCTTTAAATTGCTGAAAGTAAATTTCAACTTAGAATTCTGTGATCACTAAAAATAATTAAAGGCAAAATGATTTTTTTTTCAGAATAGCACAAAAGGTGGGGTGGAGAGTGGAAGTATGTTGTAAGTTTCTTACCTTATTATTGAGGTTATATAATAATCTGCTATAGGTTAACATAGCAACCAGTGTGAACATTTTAAGTCAAATCATGTCAGCCCTCTGCTTAAAACCCTCCAATGGCATCCCACTTCACTCAAAGCGAAAGCTAAAGTCTACAACATCCTGTGAGGTTGGGTACAATCTGAAACTACCCCCAATTCCCACTACCACTGTGACCTCAATTAATAATACATTGGCAGAAATTCATGTTTGTGACTCTTCTTTCTTTTATAAAGCTTCATCATAATTCATTATTATCTTTTCTTTGGACATTATGAAGTATTCTTTTTAAGATTTAAGGCACATGCCAAATAATACCAGTTTCTTTTTCCTTGTCTATAATTCACTCTAACATAAAGAATTTCTTGCAAGTTCCCATCATTCCCACTTTGCCAAATAGTCCCTTCCTCCTAGAATTGAGGTCAGAGCAGAAGTTCCTGCTTGTTGCCTTAGTTTTCAAAATGATTTTTTAAAAATAGAAACCAAATACCTTAAAATCACATTCTACTTGAGCAGACTTCAGCAGCTGCCAATATATTGCACTCCTGTGATAATTCTGAGTTGTCCTAATTTTACAACCTGTATTAGGCAATTATAATCTATCTAGGCATCTTTTCGTGTATCTATTTGCCATCAATATATCTTCTGTAGTTAAATGACTGTTCAAATCTTTGGCCTAATTTTTAAGTCAGTTATGTTTTCCTATTATTGAGTTTCCAGTGTTCTTTATATATACTTGATACAAGTACTTGATCAGATACATGATTTACAAATATTTCTTCAAGTGTGGGGCATATGTTTTTTTATTAAATTCAAGTTAGTTAACATATAGTACAGTATTGGTTTCAGGAAGTATAGGGCATATCTTAACAGTCTCTTGTGAAGAATAGACGTTCTCAATTTTCATACATCCAATTTATCAACTCATCAATGCCTCAAACCACCAGGCACACTGTGTTTTGTATTTTTATAATTTATATTTTGGTTTATTATTCGTTGCAGTGAGGGAGAATACTTACCATGGGGAACCATGGGAAGTCTTGGTGAGAGGATGTTAGAAAACCTATTATGGGGTTTGGACTTTGGTTGGGTGATTTGGGCTTTGGTAGGTACAATTTTATAATTGGGTATCTTACTAAATCTTATTTAAAAGGAGAGCAAACCAGAACGAGGATAGCTGCACTTGCTAAAGAAGTAGTAATCATTCATTTTAGATGGGAGAAGGGAATGTTCAATATTTTGTGGGTTGTGTAGTGACCTTGTTTTTTTTTTTTTTTAAGATTTATTTATTTATTTGAGAGAGTGTGTGCAAGTGTGCATGCGTGAATAGGGGGAGGGGCAGAGGGAGAGTGATATAGAATCCTTAAGCAGACTCCCCGCTAAGCACAGAGCTCAACTCAGGGCTTAATCCCCAGACCCTGAGATCATGACCTGAGCCAAAATCAAGAGCTGGCTGCCTAACGGACTGAGCCACCCAGGCAACCCAATAGTGACCTTGTTTTTGTCTCACTTTATCATGGTGTCAGGGAGACTTTGTCTGATGTTGGTGTTTTATGAGATTGTTTATGTCTGACAGGAGAGCAACATTAACTAGTTGTGAGCATCAGGCTAACTTTGTAATAATACTGAGGCCTTGCTGTAAGTGTCAGACCAGTTCCCAGATGTAAGAAGCTCCTTTTTTCTTTTTTTCTCTTACGGATCATGATTTTGCTGTTAAATATAATACCCAGGGTCACAAAGGTTCTCTTCTATGCATTTTTTCCCTTGAAGTTCTATAGTTTTACTTTTAGGTCAATTATCTTTGAGTTTGTTTTCATATACAATGCTAGGTAGAGATAAAAGTTTTTTCCTTCTCCTTTTTCTCCCCCTCCTCCTTCTTTTTCTCCTTTTTGCCTATAGATATCCAATTAGTCCAGCTTTATGTATTGAAAAGACTATCCTTTCTTTACTGAATAGGCTTTGTCAAGAATCAGTTGCCAATACACATGTGTGGGTTTGTTTTTGGAATCTCTATCTTATTCCATGGATCTACTTGTTTATTTTTGACACCAAAACCACACTGTCTTGATTACCATAACTTAATAATGAGTCTTGAAGATTCTATGTTGTTCTTTTTTAAAAAAGTCATTTTTGATATTTTAGGTACTATGCATTTTCATGTGAGTTTCAGAGTTAGCTTGCTAATTTCTACAAAAAGCCATGCTGGGATTTTGATTGAGATAGATTTGAATTCATAGACCAATTTGGGGAGAATTGACATCTTAACAATACTGCTTTTTCAAAATATATGAAGCAAAAACTGATAAAACCGTAAGGTGAAATAAATTAATAATTATAGTTGGAGATTTCAATATCCTTCTCCCAACAATCAGTAAAACATGTATACTGAAAATCAGTAAGGATATAGAAGACTTGACCAGTATTACCAACCAGCTTGACCTGATTAACATTTATAAAACATTCCACCCAGCAACAGAATACACATTCTTTTCAAGTGCACATGAACCATTTACTAATATACTACATATTTGAACCATAAAACAAGTCTCAATAAATTTTAAGAGATTCAAGAAGTCACACAAGGTAGGTTCTCTCACCTCAGTGGTTTGAAAATAGGGATCAATAAAAAAAGTATCTAGAAAATCCCAAATATTTGGAAACTAAATAACACACCTCTAAGTAACCTATGGAATGAATAATTGGATTTCTACATACTAGCAACAAGTGGAAATTAAAATTTAATAACAATTCTATTTACACTATTACAAAAATTATGTAAAATTTAAGGATAAGTGTGAAAAAAAAGTGTAAGACCTATACACTAAAAACTAGAAAACATCGCTGATTAAAATCAAAGACAACCTAAGCAAATGGAAAGACGTGTTCATCTTTAGTGTCTCGTCTTTGTAGCACTAATTTAACTACTCAGCTTTTTCCTCTGAGTTTTCTGGTTGTTGGTTGTGAATTTGTTGAATAAGCAACCTTTAAGTAAGTGAATTGTTACTATAAAGAAAGATAAAAAAAACCCAAAAGTGATTAAAAAGAGAGTTTGTAATAATTCAGTAGTGAGAAACACATCAAAACCTACTTTGACTATAACTGTTACCAGTCAAAATAGAGAGCCCTTCGCGCCCTGTGACCTGTGGAAATCATTCATGGGAAGGGCTGGCGGAGGGATGGGAGGTGGTGGGATGTGATCTGCATTGATTATAGGACTAGGAGATTGGCCAAAGTTGTCTCTTTTTTCCCTTTGTGAATTAGTTTAATTTTTCTCTCCTTACCTAAGGAGGAGGCATTTCCCCTTTCCCAAAGCCAGATTTGATTAGGGTATTTTATATTGCCTTAGTCATCAGCTTTAATGTTAAGCCTCACAAATTTAGAATAAAGAAATTTCTACTTGACATAATGAACATACGGATTTTGGCATATTGCATTTTATTGCTTTCAAATACATAGAATTAAAAAAATGGTGGAACAATGGGGAAACAATAGGCCATGTCTAGTGAAGAATTCTATAAACTGGTTAATGAGCACAGAAGGAACATTTAGTCTTTGCTCCTACACCAATGTAGCTTTTAACTCCCTCCTTCCAGCAACTTCTGTCTGCAGTACTCCACGTTAGGAGACATTTTTTAAAATTCATTTCTGCTTTTCTAAATCAAGGGCGCAGTATATTGTCCATTACTCAGATCCCTCCTCCTCCCAGCACTAGCATGGGATTTCTTCACGTTATCTGTTAAAACTACTGTTCTAAATCACAATTCGAAAATGTCTCAGTCTAAAATTTAGAGTTCCATTAGGAAGCTTCCTGGAGATCTGTTCAGTGCCCACTTCAGGCTCTCCTGTCACCTAAGACAATGTCCTAAATCAAATTCGCGACGTGCTTGGTAGCTGCCTCGGTTCCCTTTTTAACCACGGCCACAGGTTGTGCGGGCGGCCAGGCCTCCGAGGAAAGGCGGGAGCCGCGGAGGAGGAGACCTGGGCGCCGGGCCCGCCGCGGACACCTGTTCCGGGAGCGTCCGCGGCGGCGGCAAGAGAGCGCGCGCCGAAGGGCGCGTGTAGGCGAACGCGCACGCACACGCGCGCCCGGCCGCCCCGGGACGAGGAGGGAGAGCGTTTGCAGGAGACGCGGACGTGGGGAGGGGGTCGCCACGTTCTCACAGGCCGCCTGGGTTACATAAGCGAGCGGGGGGAGGAGGGGGCTTCGCGGGCGCCGGGGCTCGGGCCGTGCCCGCCCCGTCCCCGCCTCTGCCCGGGTGGGGTTGTGACCCTGCGGGACCGGCCGCCCACGCCGCGCGGGGGACACCGCCCCAGTCTTGCGCCCGCCCTCGCCAGTGGTAACCGCGGCCCACAGCGGCCGCCCGCAGACGCGCGGGGCTCTCGGCGAAGGCGGCGGCCGCGCTTCCACCGCCGGGCCCCAGGCAGCGGAGCATCCTCTCGCCTAGGCTTCTTCCGTCCGGGCCTACGGCGCCGCAGCCCCGTGGCTATGAGCCCCGAACCCGTCCCGCCGCCGCCGCCCCAGTGCCCCGGCTGCGACTGCGGGGAGCCGTTCGCCAAGCGCTTGGAGAAGGGCGACGAGGCCTTCCGCGCCGGCGAGTATGAGATGGCAGCGGAGCTCTTCCGCTCGATGCTGGCCGGGCTGGCGCAGCCCGACCGCGGCCTGTGCCTGCGGCTGGGGGACGCGCTGGCCCGCGCGGGCCGGCTCCCCGAGGCCCTGGGCGCGTTTCGCGGCGCCGCGCGGCTCGGAGCGCTGCGGCCAGAGGAGCTGGGGGAGCTGGCGGGCGGCCTCGCGTGCGCCCTGGGCCGGCGCGAGTGGCGGCTGCCGGCTGGGAGGCCGGGCCGCGCCCCCGAGGAGCCGCGTGGGGAGCAGCCGGCCTCCGCGCGCGTCGCGCCCCGTGACCTGCTGGGCTGTCCGCGCTGCCAGCGGCTGCTCCACAAGCCGGTGACCCTGCCGTGCGGGCTGACGGTGTGCAAGCGCTGCGTGGAGTCGGGGCCGGCCCGGCTGCCGGCTCGGCGAGTCAACGTGGTGCTGAGCGGCCTGCTGGAGAAGTGCTTCCCGGCCGAGTGCCGTGTGCGCAAGCTGGCGGGCCAGGCACGGGGTCTGCAGCGCCAGCAGCAGCCCGAGGCCGCGCTGCTCAGGTGCGACCAGGCTCTGGATCTGGGTAAGTCGGCTTTGGGAGCTGGCCCGCCAGCCTTGCCCACCCGTGGAGCAGCAGGGGTGGACGTGGAGAGCTTTGCTCAGGCTTAGGGGTTATTTTCTTCCGAAGGTGGTAAGGTCAACCAGCAACCGGGGTGGCTGGTGTCAGGGGCCAGCTGCGCCCCACTGGTCCCGTTTTTCGCAGAATCTCCGCATCCTTCCTGAGTAGCTCCGTGAGGCCAAGACTGTCTTTCGCTCCCATCTCCGCTGTCTAGAAGTGGGAGGATGACCAAGTGTTTTTATTTGCCCTGCAGGAAAATGCAAATAACTAACACCCTAGAGGCGCACAAACGGAGTGCCTTGTGATGTGGCGAGATTTGCTCTGGGGGTTTCAGCTAAACAATCCAGGAAGGATCCCCTTCCGTTCTGCTTTTATTACTCGTACATTCTCTCTCAAAGGGCATTAGATGTTGTTATGGTGTGGTTAGCTTATTAGATGATTATATTAACTAGTGTGTGTGTTTAATTTTTAAAAAATAACTAAAATCTGTGACCAGCACCAGGCTCTTTTACCCCTCCCCCTACCTGTTAAGAATATGTAATTTAAAAGACCCAACTTCCTTTTGCTACAGGTTATGTATGATTTAAATCACTAGCCAAGAAGACTTGGTTTAATTTTTTGTTACTAAAAGAATCTTGTGTGGTGTAGTCATTATGCATTTTATTTTAAATTTAGAGTTAAGGTTTTCCCTTTTAGAGGGCGCACCTATATTTAAATTGGGGGATTCATTGTTGGAGTAGAGCAGTGAAACTGTGTTTTATATAACAAGTATTCTGTACCATTTTTGCAGCCAATATATCCATACTTTAGCAGGATGTATATTTTTGAATTTTCATCTGTCTTGTTTATGTATCTGTAGCATGGAGCAGCACTGTCCAGTGGAAATATTGCGTAAGCCACAGATGTAATTTTAAATTTCTGGTAGCCACATGTAAAAGGTGAAAAGCAGGTGAAATTAATCTTAACAATATTTTTTAAACCTATACATCCAAAATATTATTTCAACATACCTTCAATGTAAAAAATGGAGATTTTACTTTAAAAAAAATCAAATGCATTGTGTATTTTACATGTACTGCCTACCCCAATTTGGATACAAAATTTTCATCAGAAATACTTTCTTTATAGGGCGCCTGGGTGGCTCAGTTGGTTAAGCGACTGCCTTCGGCTCAGGTCATGATCCTGGAGTCCCAAGATCGAGTCCCGCATTGGGCTTCCTGCTCGGCAGGGAGTCTGCTTCTCCCTCTGACCCTCCCCCCTCTCATGCTCTCTCTCTCATTCTCTCTCTCAAATAAATAAATAAAATCTTTAAAAAAAAAAAAAAAGAAATACTTCCTTTATATTTCAATTTCATAAAACTTAGAGTTGAAAAAGTAGATTGGCATATTGAAGTTGTTCCAAATTAAGTTTTCCACTAACCAATAGAGTATCAGCTTTTAAATTTAAATTTCAATTAGTTAAAATTAAAAAGTCAGTATCTCGGTTCCTCTGTTGCTCCAGCCCCATTTCAGTTGCCCAGTAGCCACACGTAGGTAGTGGCTACTGTCTTAGACAATAGAAGTATAGAACTTTTAAAACCAGTTGTTGGGGAGCCTGGGTGACCCAGTCAGTTAAGCGTCTGACTCTTGATTTTGGCTCAGGTCATGATCCTAGGGTCCTGAAATCAAGCCCAGCAGCAGGCTCCCTGCTCAGTGGGGAGTCTGCTTCTTTCTCTCTCTCTCTACCTCCGTCCCTCCTTGCCCCTCTCCCCCCCCCCCCCGCCCCTGCCCCTGCCCCTGCCCCTGCCCATGCTCTCTAAAATAAATAAATCTTAAAAATAAATAAAAACAGCTGCTGGAAATGAAGAAGATCACAATACCAGCTGTTGGGAGAAGATGGAGAAAATGAGAACTATCATATGCTGCAGATGAGTCTGCAAATTATACACCTGGAAAATTGTTTAGTAGTACCTGAAATGTTAAATACGACCTTTGGCTGAGCAGTTTCAATAAGGTTCACATATATGGGCACTGAAAGAATGTACACGAATATGCAAGAGTTTATATCCTTATGTAGAGATAGCCCTGAAGTGGAAGCAACCCACACGTCCAATAAGAATGCAATGAGTGACTATATTGTGATGCTTTTGGAATACTATACAGAAAGAAAGTAAACCAGCTACAGTTACAGACTATAGTGTGGACAAATCACAAACATAATGTTGGGTGAAAGAAACCAGACTCAAAAGCATTTTTTTTTTTTAAGATTTTATTTATTTATTTGAGAGAGAATGAGAGACAGCATGAGAGGGAGGAGGGTCAGAGGGAGAAGCAGACTCCCTGCTGAGCAGGGAGCCCGATGCGGGACTCGATCCCGGGACTCCAGGATCATGACCTGAGCCGAAGGCAGTCGCTTAACCAACTGAGCCACCCAGGCGCCCCTCAGAAGCATTTTTACCATGTGATTCTATTTATCTGTAAATCCCAACAGGCAAAATATATTGCATATTGTAAGTGAGGGCAGTGGTTACCTTTGGGAAAAAAAAATATTAGCAGATTGAGTCCAGTGATACACTTAAAACACATCACAGTCAAGTAAAATGTTCATTTAATCCTTGTATATTAACGAGTGTAATTCACTACATCTACAGAATAGAGAAAAATCATATGACCACAATGAGATACCATCTCACACTTGTGAGAATGGCTAAAATTAACAACTCAGGAACCAGCAGATGTTGGTGAGGATGAGGAGAAAGGGGAACCCTCCTACACTGTTGGTGGGAATGCAAGCTGGTGCAGCCACTCTGGAAAACAGTATGGAGGTTCCTCAAAAAGTTAAAAATAGAACTACCCTATGACCCAGCAATTGCAGTATTAGGTATTTATCCAAAGGATACAAAAATAGTAATTCAAACGCATACGTGCACCCCAATGTTTATAGCAGCGATGTCCACAATAGCCAAACCGCGGAAAGAGCCCAGATGTCCACCAACAGATGAATGGATAAAGATAATGGTATATATATGCGATGGAATATTATTCAGCCATCAAAAAGAATGAAATCTTGCCATCTGTAATGACATGGATGGAAATAGAGGGTATTATGCTAAGCGAAATAGAGAAAAATACCGTATGATTTCACTCATGTGGAATTTAAGAAACAAAACAGATGAATATAGGGGAAGGGAAGGAAAAGTAAAATAAGATAAAAACAGGGAGGCAAACCATAAGAGACTCTTAACTGTAGGAAACAAACAGGGTTGCTGGAGGGGAGGTGGGTGGGGAGAAGGGATAATTGGGTGATAGGCATTAAGGAAGACCCTTGATGTAATGAGCACTGGGTGTTATATGCAACTGATGAATGACTAAATTCTGTCCTGAAACTAAAAATATACTATATGTTAACTAAATTGAATTTAAATTTACAAAATCTGTAGCAATCATCGTGATGATAAAATATTGAATGTTTTCCCACTGCAGGAAAAGCTGACAAGGCTGTTCACTTCCATCACTGCCATTTTGCACTGTATTAAGATTCTAGCTGGTGCAACAGGGAGAAAAAAGGTATTGAGATTGGAAAAATAAAACATTATTTGTAGATGACATGTTGGAGTACATAGGAACTTCAGAGGAATATTTGAACTATTAGAAATTATAAGTGAGTTATCAAGGTTGTTGACTATAAGGTTAATACAGAAAGATCAGTGGTAATTATATATACTTAGTAAAAAACAAAATAGAAAACCCATTTATGTAACCAAAAAATTCTTTGGAGTAAATCTTGAAATACCTAAAAGTTGTTCAAGAGCTCTACACTGAAAATACAAAACATTTCTGACAGAAATTAAATAAGTGGGAAGATGTATGATTTTCATGGATTGCAAAACTCAGTAATGATGTGAGTTCTGTGCATATTGAACTATAGATTCAGTGCATTCTCAGTCAAAATCTCAGCTAATGGTTTTGGTGGAGGTTGATGAATGGCCAATGCAATAATGAAAAATAACAAAGCTGGAGAACTGATACTGTAAGATACCGAGGCTTAGTATAATACAGCTGCAGTAATTAACACAGAGTTGTATTGGCCCAAGTATAGACACATAGAAAAGGACTCTTATGTACAGTCACTTGGTTTGTTACAAAGATGCCAGTAGAGTTATATGGGGGAAAAAGTCTTTTAAATAGTCTAAGTCTGTTGCTCATCCATTTGGGAAAAAAATGAACCTAGATGCCCATTGCACATCATACATGGAAATTATCAGAGATCTAAAAAAATCATAGAATATTTTCATGAACTTAGGGTAGGTGATACTTTTTAAGACACAAAAAGCATAACCATACAGGAAAAGATAGATACATTTGATTTATTTATTTTTTTTAAAGATTATTTATTTATTTATTTGACAGAGAGACACAGCGAGAGAGGGAACACAAGCAGGGGGAGTGGGAGAGGGAGAAGCAGGCTTCCCGCTGAGCAGGGAGCCCGATGCGGGGCTCGATCCCAGGACCCTGGGATCATGACCTGAGCCGAAGGCAGACGCTTAATGACTGAACCACCCAGGCGCCCTGATAAATTTGATTTAATTAAAATTAATAACTTCTGTTCCTCAGAGACCCCCCAAAAGAGTGAAAAGGTGATGGGTATTTGTAATATGTATCTAAATGAGAATGCCGATTCAGAATATTGAAAAGAATGCCTATAGTTCAAGAACAAAAAAGGAAGTCTGTCTAAATAGGCAGAGTTGAATAGATGCTTTGTAAAACTAGATATCAAAATGGGCAGTAAATATATGAAAGAGAGCCAAATGTAATTACTGATCAAATGCAAATTTAAACTAAAGACATTAAAGCATACCTGAAAATGAAAAAGAGTAACCATGTCTAGCTTTGGCAAGTATTGGAAGCAATCGGAACTCTTTACATTGCTGGTGGAAGTGCAAATTGGTGCAAGTTAAGTATGTTTGGAAGTACCTACTAAAGTAA